GCATCAGGATTTATCCATTTTTTAGGATTAGGGCGTGCCAAAAAAGACACTGAGTATTGAGATTGTCGAAAAATTTAAACGGAAAGGTGGCCTGCCGAATGGTGTCATTACCATCATGATCGTTCTTCACAATTTTTGTACTGTGATGTGAGCACAATTCGCCTTTCAATCGGAACCACAAGTCCTCATTGACCAAAAACTGGAGTGCTTATTCCTGGGACACAGAATGAGCGAGTTTGTTTCTCACCTCGGCATCGCAGACCCTATGCCGTTGCCCAAACAGCTCGTTCACCTTATTATCTGCAATATAATCGCCTGGTAAACCCACGATGAGCTCATATATGTCGCCCAGTAGACTTCACCGGACTTTTAGAAGATGTAAGGAACATTATCGATAACGTCAACAATTGTTGCACTGAAAGGAAGCGGACGCGTTTGTGTTGTTGTACTGTCTATAAAACTCGCGAAAATTGCGAGCGTTTTCATCTTCCCCACCGGTGGAAACTCCAATGGGTTCGAATGGAACACTGTAACATGATCATGACAACAACCTTGCCGAAGTATACCTTTCTCCGCTTCGAAATGAAATGCCATGCAGTGCCCAACAAAGCATTCAACATGCATAGGGTCGCGATCATGCGAAATGACTGGAATGACGTTGAGCGTCCTAGCCAACGCAATTCGAGTAGGGTTAAAGGTTCGCCTCGTACACGCACTGTTCTCAGTGCAGCGTTAACAGCCTTATGTTGCTCTGCAATTAATGCACCTCTTCTCTTGGTATCTTCAATTTGCTCATGGGTCAGTGCAGACCTACAAAGCCTCGCCGCTTCTCTTAAGCAGCACATCACATCACATATTGCTGAGCTGTATAACACACCCCCAACCAACTTAGATCTTGCAAAGGCACAAGCTTGTAAGCAAAACAGTTGCACGGACGACTCACGAAACGTGCCTAGCCAATGACATGGAAAGGAAAAGGCTCGAAGGTCTATCGGCTACCAAGCCTATGATCCGGAAAAGGAAAGGCATATAGGCCTGGGGGCTACCAAGCCTATGTCCTTGATGGGTAAAATCTTTATAAGCTAGAGGCTTCACCTACCATGAATCTCATTAGCGTATTCTAATATAGTATGGGTGGATTACTTATTTTATCTACGATGAAAAAAAAATTAAGAATTAAACTTTTTCTCCAGGTCATTTCACAGAAAGTCGCTTCCCAAAGACTGTTTCGTAGATTTGGGAATCGTTCCGCAGAGTAAGTTGTCGGAACAGTTTCAGCGATTATCAGCCTTGCTCCACGACTATACAGGACGAGTCAAAAGTCCTGCCCACCTTTTTGAACGTTAACTTCTCAACGCTAGATCTCATGGAGATGCGGTTTTCACCATTCGAAAGGTAAGACGATTCTATTCAATATATATGAGGAAGGATATTTAAATTATTTTNCAGGATTTATCCATTTTTTAGGATTAGGGCGTGCCAAAAAAGACACTGAGTATTGAGATTGTCGAAAAATTTAAACGGAAAGGTGGCCTGCCGAATGGTGTCATTACCATCATGATTGTTCTTCACAATTTTTGTACTGTGATGTGAGCACAATTCGCCTTTCAATCGGAGCCACAAGTCCTCATTGACCAAAAACTGGAGTGCTTATTCCTGGGACACAGAATGAGCGAGTTTGTTTCTCACCTCGGCATCGCAGACCCTATGCCGTTGCCCAAACAGCTCGTTCACCTTCTTATCTGCAATATAATTGCCTGGTAAACCCACGATGAGCTCATATAGATCGCCCAGTAGACTTCACCGGACTTTTAGAAGATGTAAGGAACATTATCGATAACGTCAACAATTGTTGCACTGAAAGGAAGCGGACGCGTTTGTGTTGTTGTACTGTCTATTAAACTCGCGAAAATTGCGAGCGTTTTCATCTTCCCCACCGGTGGAAACTCCAATGGGTTCGAATGGAACACTTTAACATGATCATGACAACAACCTTGCCGAAGTTTACCTTTCTCCAATTCGAAATGAAATGCCATGCAGTGCCCAACAAAGCATTCAACATGCATAGGGTCGCGATCATGCGAAATGACTGGAATGACGTTGAGCGTCCTAGCCAACGCAATTCGAGTAGGGTTAAAGGTTCGCCTCGTACACGCACTGTTCTCAGTGCAGCGTTAACAGCCTTATGTTGCTCTGCAATTAATGCACCTCTTCTCTTGGTATCTTCAATTTGCTCATGGGTCAGTGCAGACCTACAAAGCCTCGCCGCTTCTCTTAAGCAGCACATCACATCACATATTGCTGAGCTGTATAACACACCCCCAACCAACTTAGATCTTGCAAAGGCACAGGCTTGTAAGCAAAACAGTTGCACGGACGAATCACGAAACGTGCCTAGCCAATGACATGGAAAGGAAAAGGCTCGAAGGTCTATCGGCTACCAAGCCTATGATCCGGAAAAGGAAAGGCATATAGGCCTGGGGGCTACCAAGCCTATTTCGTTGATGGGTAAAATATAAGCTAGAGGCTTCACCTACCATGAATCTCATTAGCGTATTCTAATATAGTATGGGTGGATTACTTATTTTATCTACGATGAAAAAAAAATTAAGAATTATACTTTTTCTCCAGGTCATTTCACAGAAAGTCGCTTCCCAAAGACTGTTTCGTAGATTTGGGAATCGTTCCGCAGAGTAAATTGTCGGAACAGTTTCAGCGATTATCAGCCTTCCTCCACGACTATACAGGAAGAGTCGAAAGTCCTGCCCACCTTTTTGAACGTTAACTTCTCAACGCTAGATCTCATGGAGATGCGGTTTTCACCATTCGAAAGGTAAGACGATTCTATTCAATATATATGAGGAAGGATATTTAAATTATTTTTTCCAATGGAAATTAAATTCCTGTTCTTGAGTCATATTGAAAGCATTGACACCCAAAGTATGCATGCAGCAGTGTGTCTAATTTTCTGTTTGATTGTCAGTGGGTGTCCAGATTGGGGAAGGACTGCTACGTTTCCTGTCCTGTCAAAATTTGAGTCATTACGGGTAAACAACTTGCAGCTGACGGTTTCTCCGATCAATATCTTCCTGAATTATCGAACGGTTTCCATCGCATTCGAGTAAAACCGAACTTTTGCAACTTGCTTATCATTGGTTAATTGTTTATTCGCCGCTATTCTCAATCCTCCATGAATTGTAATTGATTACAACCAAGGCACAATAACTCTCATACTCGAACAGATAAAAGGATGCAATGCTGCAAGTATAATTTCATGTGACAATGCCTTTGTATAACCCCCATAATAGGAATTTAATTTCCGAATGATACCATTAACAAAATAATTCGAAAATCCTTCATTTGATACAGAATTGTCTAGTTTTCTGAATGGCTGAAACAGTTGCACATAGAGTGCAACGTGCACTCTAAGAGTTTTCATTTTTTAAATTTTAAATTTCATTAATATTCGTCTCATTCAGGCGAGGGAATGATCGATCATACTAAAGAAGTCAAATATCTAAACGGAGAAGTGCTCCAGCTGGAAGTGGAGGGGAAGACACGCCCGAGCGCTATGCTTGCTTGACTGAGAGGCTGAGAAATCGTGGTCTCTGCCGTCATAGCCTTGAAGTGATGCTTTAAAAAAAAGTTAAAGTAAAAATGTTATATTGAAAATTTTCTTGACTTCGTACAATCAAAGCCGCATTGCAATCTGATCTGTCATAAGTTATTATCAAGATATCAAGATATCAAGATTATCATAGATATCAAGGGGTGAGCATGACATTTGACTCCCACTGTACTAGAATCGGTACTACGGAAAACGCGGATATCTACGTTACGCCACATGCCATGCCGCCCATTGGTCAAGTTGGTAAAAGTTGAATTGCGGAGATAAGCCACACTTGGGCCGGGGATAGATTGCTGACTGGGCAAGAGCCTTTAACGCTTGGAATCATCAAGGGTAAAGGCAACGAAGGCGTGATGGAGACCTCATGAGCCAAAGGATGTAATTCTTTTGTGAGTACTGAATTCTTCACGCTGTCTTTTGAAATGTCATATATCAATTATACCGTTGCTATATCATGTAGGAACGCTCAGACTGTGGAGACTATGCAGGCTATTTTCAACTTTTCTAAACAGACACAAGTCCAAGTAATAAGTGATACCCTCATAGATATAATATAAAATTACCTGAAAAATGATCATTCCCAATGTCTAACGAACCCTTTCAAAACTCGCATCACTTCTGCTTTCCACTTCTCCATATCCGAGGTTGAGAAGAGAGAACAGCATGTGCCACTGTCAAGGTCTACCGTACTTCTAGTCCAAGCTTAACGTTTCGTCATCACAATTCAACGGACAACCATTGTCATGAATGGAGAAAGCATGAGTATCTTGGACGATGTTGACCATATCGAAGGACATCGTGCGAGACAGACCGACGACCTTCCGTTGTCTTTCAATGGAACGAAGTTTTGAAGAAACAAAAGACGTTGAGGTGACTCTGATGCCTTAGAGATCGGCCACTGAAAGTGCGCTGCGACAGCTTCTTTCAAATTACGCTTCGGTAATTAAAAAAAAGTACGGAGAGTTAAAGAAACTGCACTTCGACTTGGACTCGTTCTGTAAGGTCTACCCTGCCAGCGACATCAGGAATCCAGGAAATCACAACCCTCCAGTCATTTCGTAGGTTTTCTTCGAGCTATCCCGGCGAAAAACCGGACAACAACCGTTCCCGCGTAGAGACGATTGCAGCTACCATTTGACATAGCATTTATAGCGAAAGATGCCAATTTGGCACAGACTGGAAAGGATGGAGATAAAACTCAATTAAATGGGGTAAGGTTATCACTAAATGAAAAGGTAGGCTTACCTGAAACTAAACGGTTCTGGACCGTTTAATTCCCTATTGTTATATTGTTATAACTCCCTATATTTTCATTGTGTTCAACATCAAGTTAAATCACCGATGCAGAAGACAATTCCTGATATAACTAGAATTAATCCCCAGTCTTTTCATCCTGAACCCAATCTTTCCTGGATACACAAGAGGGGAAGCTCTTGGAAATTTTGCATGCATTCGTCTTGTGAGGTAACCCAGTCCATTACTCCAAGCAATTATGGCTCAGAGGATGGAGTGAGGAAGGTTCAACCTCCAATCCAACTCCATGGAGTGGTGTAAGAGATAACACATAGTGGTGAGAATCTTTTCGTCTATCTCCTTATGAAAGGAGATATATCTGGGTATGACGTAAGACTTCATCCAAAGGAGCTATCCAAGGAATTGCGTAACTTCGGGGAATGAGACCAATTAGCTGATAGAAATTCCAGAGTCATCTTGCGGAAGAAGTTATATCTGAAAATGCCTTGTCCTGTGCAGGAAATTCAAGTCCGAGATGGGGAGGGGGGAGGGAAGAGAGTGGGAGTACTGCCTTCCCTCGTGAAAGAAGTTATGACTCTCAAATCAGATTTCGGCTGCATGATGGTCCCCGGCATGGGAACAACGCTGATGTTCAACTTTAAAATTTAGAACATTTTAAATGGTCAGGAGAACGTTTCCAAGAACGTTCTTTGCGCGTTGGCTGTAAATGTAAATACACAACCAGGCTGGTACATTCGCGACTTCATAAACATATTTATAGAGGGTGGGGTGTACGACGGCTCCAGAACTGACTTGATCCAGAGCCTCATGTAAGCGTAGAGTATGGGATTGATGGCGAAGGATGATTTGGCCATCATGACTGGGATCACGGTTGCCATAGGGTCCAGCGATGACTTTCCACCGAAGGCAGTGATCAGAGATACACACGTGTAGGGCAACCATGCCACCCAATAGCTTAGACAAAGGGTCGCCACTACCTACAAACAAAAAATAAGAAATTGTAGATGAATAATGAGCCTGAAAATACCACGGATTAGAGAAATGTGACATGACGGACCTTAGTGAGAGATCTCTCCCTGGAAGCGGCCTTTTTCAGGACCCTGGCATTCTGGATACATTTGCTTGCAGTTTTAATCGAGAAAATGAGAGTGACGTAGCAGTAGACCATGATCCCACCAGGAATAAGACAGCAGCATATGCTGGCGCTTATTACATGTGATCTGTTCCCTATACAAAAAATGGAGAATTGAATGTACATAGAGAAGACCGTCATAAACATATCATCTTCAGGGATTAAACGTCATGCTAACGAAGAGAATGTAAAAAAAAAACGTGAAGGAATAAAAGCGATGAAAGTTCCCCTCTTCCCAGCCCTCCTATATGTGGAGAACCAAAGACCATGCAGAAATGGAAAACTTTTTAAAGTGCTCTTACTCTGGCCAAACCCCTTCGCAACAGAAAGGGAATCCTCAAGGGCCTCCAATACATAGAGTGGTTAGGTTCATGGATTCATAGGGTCAACATAAATAACACTTGCCCCTTGCTTGTGTTGGCCTTGACAACCGTAGAACTTGGCATCATCAGGATCGCTATTCTGGGCAGTTTTAGAGACTCCTCGACGATAAAGTCAATGTTCGTGTGTTTGGGCCCGCAGTTGGAGCGAGAAAAGAGGGGAAAGATTCCTCGAGGTACCTGACGAATGGGACAGATGCACTATGGAAATGAAGTGGGAGATGAGGGTTTCCCTCCACGAAGATAATCACGCCCCCCCCCCCCCTACCTCCAACCGGTACCCCTACTTGTACCTCATGGAATTTTTATATTCCTCTCTCGCTTCACCTGAATTTCCGATCAGACGTAATGATTTCCCTCACGTTCGCTTCTCACATATGAGTACAATTGCTATGAGCAGGTGATCATAGAACGCCATGAGCTGAGAAGGGTGAGCGTTGAGTTTTGAAGAGTATCTCTTCTGCACGCTTGGTTTCTCTCTACAAAAATGCACTCTTAGGCCATTGACGACATCAGGACGGAATTTACAGATAGTGAATGATGATAACTGGAGTCTGCAGGGAAAATTTGCGGAAGCTATTGACATGAAATTATGAGAAACACGTTGAGGCGTGTAAGTGGCTACAGGGAGATGAGAAAGCGTCGTAACAATGGGAATGACTGCATGCCGATTTGTCCTTAGAAGCTTCGCTGATTTCATCTATGTGCCACATCAACAACATCTGTATTATGATCTTCTAAACCTTTCTTCCTAGATTTTCGTCCATAAAGAGTTCCATTAGCTTAAATGTGGGTGATTCACATCTGGCGGATCGGGAAGCACCATCCCATGCTGACAGACTGGCACTGTCAATCAATAGGAATCTTTCTTCTAGACAATTATTATCCTCTTAGTACTTTGCGTACCGCTTATGGAGATCTCCGTTTTTGAATCTTTTCGCGAGTCCTTTTCCTGAGCCTCTGGCCGAAAAAGTAATGGCCTTGTGGGCTAAGGGAACAGAGGCTTATGTCAAAGCGGCGGATCGACGGAGTAAAATGTCCGGTACGCAATGTGTTAAGTGGATTTTGACGTATATACAGCGTGGGCCAAAAAAAAAAAACAAAGCTATCATTTTCACTGAGTCGTCAATCTCTTTGCAGGCAGTCGATTTTTATGGAAATTAGTAGACTTATAGGGCGACACAATTGGAGTTTATATTTCAAATTTCAGCCATCTGGCTTTAAAACTATAGGAGTTGCAATTTTTTTTCTGATGACCAACAACAAAATGTGGTGTCAAAAATATCGACATGACCAAGAGACCGGGATGAAAGGCAGGTCCGAATTCATTGCCCTTCCATCCCTGCATGCTGCTACAAAGGAAGATTGGGAGGCACTATCTCAAAGGTTTATTGACCGAGCCATTCATCTGTGGTGTCCCAGACCAGAGGCCTGCGTTCAACAGAATGGTTGGCCCATTGAGCACCTTCTCAGTCGAAAAGGAGTAATAAATATCTCTATACTAACGCTACTTATTACTTCCAGGAAAAAATCCTCACTCCGGTGGTAGACTACTGTCCGAGAAATTCCCCACTTAAATAGTTAAAAAGTAAAGCAGGACCTCGAGAGATTTGTTGGCGTGCGACTCGCATTGAGTGTATGATATGCTGATTGAACGAACTCTTAGCTCATACTTGAAGCCGCATTTACAAAATCAAACGTGTGATCGCGATCGTAGCGCAAGCGCGAAAAGTTGGAAGAAATATGGGCGGTGAATGTAACATCGCCTCCTGTCAACATGTAGAACCATGTGTTGGGTAAGGGAATGAATAAGTCATGGAACCATAAACATCTCTGTCAAACATCAGCTGCATCTGACTTTTCCTTAAAAAGTTATGACTAAAAATAGTTCAATTATTAGGTCAAAATCAAACTTTGTCCATATCTTTTGAGAAAACTCTCAGATGCAGATGATAATTGGCAGAGAGATTTATAGGCCTGCAAGAATTTTTTCCAGTTCCTAAAACATGACATAGCTAGTAGGCAAGTGCCGCTGCTTCCGACATTATCACGCTCTATCGGCATGCAGCGCAATTTAGCGGCATGGAAAAAAAGCTTCCTACACTAAAGACTATAATATGTGACTATAATAATCATGTATCACTGAAAATTGAGAGAGCTGGTGATGAGCCTAAACCTGTTTCTCAGCCGCAAGTTTTGGTGCCGTTTGACTTCGTTTAGAGAGCCCTTTCAATGACCAAAGTTTGATGAATATCTGAAATTATCACTTGGGTAGTGTCCCTTGTTAGTGCAATGAGATTTGTTTTTGATTTGATCATTAATTGCTTTCGACATTCATATAAGGACACAATTCAGATCTCCAGTTATATTTCAGTTCCTCTAATCCAAGGGGACCAACATACATGCACAACAACTTTCGTAATTCACAAGGAAAAACAAATGTAGGGACTCTAATGCATGGTGAGACTTGTGAATAATAATTTAATATAAATATATAGACAAATGCAATGTAAATATAAACTTTTTTAATATGGCAAATGGCTTGGGAAAATGGCCTGTTTTCTCCAGGCAAACGGCATGACAAAATGATGTGTTTTATCCGGGTCGGGTACACTCTTAACGTTTTACTCTGAAAATCCAAAATCTTGCAATTTGTTACTCTTGAATTACCTTACCTCTTATCTATTCAATAGTATAGAATAGGAGTAACCTACGCAGGAAAATCGCATATAAAAGGTCAGAAATTCGGAATGAAAATTTTCATGCACTGGTGTGCTCATGTAAGAGGAAATCAACCTTCTGCACTCCGTCAACATCTCCGGTGGCAAATTTCCAATGAACAGGATAGTAATATTGATGTTACTCTTAATGTAACAATTCTCGGAAATGTTGATGAAGTTCAGGACATAAGATTCATTATAATGAACAATCCAGTGCATATTTTAAAAATTTCATTTCAGTTTGTAACATTTTAAATGCAATTTTCACTGTCACTACGTAGGTTACTCCTATTCAAGAGCAAAAAAATTACACGTTTTTTTTTTGCCCCATTTTCAGAATAATATAGCTAAGAGTGTAGAACCGCCATCTTTATACTGCGAAAATGGCGATGAGTCTATGTTGTGAAAAAATATGGAGTAATGACTCGAAATGGAAAGCATGTGGGCAAGTAATCCCTTTTCCTCTAAAAATGTTCTAGGGCAAATATGAAACCTATCCAAACGATTAAGACGAAATCATAAGGATAGGCTAGGTTTCGTAGGTCTTCCTCGTCCAAAAAGTTATCGGAAGCTATTGGACGCTGCGTGACGAAATTTGTTGTAGACGTACTCTCGGATAGATAGGGCCATTCCATATAGACAATAAAAAACCTTGCGATTTTTTGCTCGACCAACGCTGATTTCCTTCATACTTAGTGCATACAATGCCTCACACCTATTCCCCATTAATACAAAAAAATTAACGTGGATTCTGAAAAATTGTTTGCAAGATAGAGCCCCTCAAATTTCGGCGGAATAGGGAAACTGGGGGCTGCCCCCTAATTGCGAACTTTTTTACCATTTCGTCGATTTTACCTCAAATAAAAGTCTTCAAAATGACGATTTTGAAGATGTCTTATTGTAAATAATAATAGTTACTGACACGCAAAATTTGACCAAGTCAAAATTTAAGGGCGAATCTCCCCGTGAAGGGGGTGGATTCAACATACTGTACCTCTTCCGTCTAACCTATAGCCTAGAAAGGCCCAGTGTTGTAGGCCACATGCGTAAGGCTCACATCAGAGAGATCCGAATAGGAAACCCCTTATGTTCAGACTCTTCTGGGATACCCCAGCCCGTTTGCTAGAACCTATTCTTTGATAGTCTTTACATGGTAACTATCTTGACATGTATCAGGCGATAGGTCTATAATTTGCTCAAGTCCGTATGCAAGTACAATTTATAGGTACCCATCGTACCTATTATCATAAGAATTGTATACCTATCATGATAGGTATTCGTGAATCTTCCTGGTGACAACCTCCTATCCATCGTCTCCCGCCCAAGAACAATCCCATGTGTGACATGACTGATCAGAGTGTTGTGTGATGATTTGATGGTATTAATCTGATCCCGTTTACCAGACAAGAACTTGAATTCCGATGGCCGTGGCTTGATACAAAAATTTTACGGGATTTAACCTATCACAGAGTAATTGCGCTCAGAACAAGTGGCCCACATAATTAAGTAAATTGCACTGCAATCCACCGTGGTAGCTCGTTTTAAGCAGAATAAACAAGCTCTGGATCATAATATAGGGTGGGCTTTATGTTCGAATACAAATTTTCTCGAGATGCAATTTCTAAACGTGAGTCAATTTAAAAACTCGGGATGTGCATCAGAAAGCCCTTTGTTCTGTCTTTATAATTTGGGAAAAGACGATTCAGAGTTTGGTCTTCATTGAAATAGAGGTCAAAGAAAGAAAGCGCAGTACAATTGTATCTCTTCCTCTTGCTGACAAAACACCGGGAGGAATAATTCGTCTTCTCGTGCACACGCCATTAAGTGGAACTTCGTGTTTACCACCATCAAAAGATACTATGAACTTCGCTCTCTCAAAGACCGACCGAAGAATGGTCGCCCACTCACCAAAACTCTCATTCAAAAAGTGAAATGTCTTTTTGCAAGAAATCCAAATCGGTCAGAGAGAAAACTTTCAGAAGATCTGAACGTTTCAAGCTCCACCATAATGACAATTTTGGAAAAGAACCTTGGACTTGGACCTTTCATCAAAGTGAAAAGCCAGCTCCTGTCCAATGAGCAGAAGCAAAAGTGGAAGACTAGAGATATGACTTTGTTGAGGTGTTTCACTGGTGACATGTGGGAATCGGTAACGTTTACCGATTAGAAGCTTTTTCATTGTAGAAGAAAAGCGCAACTCCCAAAACAATCGGGTGCATGCGACCAGCAAATCTGCTATTCCAGATGACAGTTTGAGGACCCTAAGGACACAGAAGCATTCAAATGTGATGGTCTTTGTTGAAGGATAGTTTTGTGGTCGCACGAGGTTGACTTTTATTTCATCTGAAGTGAAAAATCAATGCGACTTCCTAAATCCGGGACGTACAAGAGCGAGTTACCAAACCCTTGAATAATAATTTATTCGAGGGAGACCAATGAACGCTTCAGCAAGACTTGGCATCGGCTCACAAGGCCAAGATGACGGGAGCGTATCATCAAAATACCGAACAGCTATTCATCGAAATTCATATCGCCGAAAACTCGAAATGTCGATTAATCAAATGGACGAAACTCTAAACATCGAATAAATTGTCCGAAAGCACATTTCGCCGAAGCAAAATCTTTTCTATGCGAGCTGATTTTCGTCGAAAGATTGAAATACCAGAATATAGCCATTTTTTAATCATGGTTTTCATTGCAAAGTCAAGGTCGAATGTGAAAGACACGGATATTTGCACTCATCTCAAGGAGAAACATTATAGGAAAGACCTCTCAAGAAAGACATATTGCAGAGATCCCCATAGGTACGCGTGATTGTCAGAATTATGTTGTTCTTGTCAATCTCTGCTTTCTTTTTCCCTGGAATGTGGCTCGCTTCCAACTTCAAAATGACATGCTCTGTCACTGACTGTTCTACTTTGAGCTGTAACAAGAATGCATAAAAATGCATGTGCTTTCCAAATAATGACGATGCCCGTCGGTGCCATGCCTCAAGATTTAGTTGTTCGGGGCTCACTGGAGAGGGTTCGATCTCGAACATTCCACAGCTGCGGTGGATAGACAACCTCATCTCTGGCTCTGCCCCGTCGTCTTCTTCCATCGACGTAAGTTTCCCGGAAATACTGCCCAACAGGTTTGGCTTCAGATGGCATGGTTGTTTCCAATTCAGCAAGTACTTTCTGGACGTCTTCCACTGGAACGAAAGCGAGACATGTCATCATACGAATCTTTATGGCAAAATCATCATCTTCTCTGTAGAGCTGAGTTAGGCCCAGTTCTTGAATTTTCCGCCACATTCTCTGGCAGAAATGATCGAAACAGGCCTTGTGCCTAATGTGAAGGAAGTCATAAGCCATGGCTGCAACTACTCCCGATTCAAAATCTGAGCAAAACGTTTGTAAAGAAGGGGAACCTGATAAGGCATTGATGATGACTTGGAAAGTAGAAGTATAAGTTTGTCTGGTCTTGTCTGGTAGTAGGAGGTAAGCAAGAGGGACAACGCGGCCATGAACAGCAGCGTGGATCGAATAAAGTTGAGCAAAACCGTCATCCCGTGCTCGCGGTGCAATTCCGAACGTCCCATCGCCGTACCAAGTGGTTGCATGCTGAAGGTATTCCAAATTCTTCGGGGTGGCGAAAATCATCATCCGAAGGGCATTGTACAAATGATCATGAATGAGCCAGTCCACACCCTCCATTGTACAGCGGTAGCTACCGTCAACCTGAAGGTCTGCGACTGTGGGTGGCAATGCAGGAATTTCTGTTCTTTTCCTTAGAGCAACCCGTCTCAAGGCATTCAGGGATGGGGCGTATCCTCGATCTGCTGCCTTCGACCCAGCTATCTTAAATAGCAAACACAAACGCTAGCTTGGGTAGGTCTACTTACTAAATAAAGGTGCAGCCCTTCATGGAATGAAAAAAAGTCTTGAAGTGTGATGAAGTCTGAATTGAATTGCTCACCGAATCAGAAGAAGCCGCTGCAACGGAAACCATAGAGTGCTGATAAATGGCATTTTTCACATTCCAAGCAACTTTCTTTTTCACAGTTTTCTCCCTGGATGGACCGTGCCCTGGGTGCTCTATAGAAGGGGACTTCACCATATCTTTTGGGTCCATCAGTGTCACAGCCGTTTGCCGGCAACCGAGCTCCGCGCATTTCCAGTATTTCTTCCCGCGAAGCGTCTAGGAGTATTTCAAGGTCAAGAACATCAACGTCCCTTGTTCACTTAGTATCAATAACTTCATAGCCTTGATAGCTTAAATTTGCAAGAGACTCTTTGGGCTAATTGAAGCTCTTAACGTTTTACATCAGCCTGACTAGTAGCGGACGACGATTTCACGCATATAAAAGGTTGTCTTACAGCTAGGAGCAAACAGGTGTAGAAATATTAGGGGAATAATAAAAAAAAATCCTAAACCTACTGTGCTCAGTCTGTAAGGCTGAATGATTCTTCAGTGCCTCACCTTGTTCTTCAGGAAGAGATATCCATGTATCACCAACATATCCTGCCCTCGTTCAGGCTTGATTATTTCAGACATAATTCAAATGCAAAATGCACAGCAGGATGCAACCAGACAGTAACCAGGGCACAACTGACTAAACACATGACTCGAGACGGTCCAAAAAAGAAGAAAATAAACCGGTATTTCTTTCGGCCTTGTAAGCCTTCGGCGAATCGAGCCTTTCGATCTCCAGACACTTCTATGAATGAATCCTTCGATGTATGGTCGCGTTCGCGTAACCGTTTTTCGACCAAATGTCTATTCGTCGATATAAGTTTCGATTATTCGATACCAACCCAAGATGACTTAGGAGTGGTACCAGAAGGAACTTCCGGATTTCATGAGGTGGGAAAAATGTGCATCATCATCGCCGGATCTTAACCCATTGGATTATTTAATATGATCCATCCTAGAGGCAAAGGTCAACGTGAAGCCTGCAACAAATTTGGAGACTCTGAGACGATCCTTTCTTAGGGAGCGAGAAAAGGTACCGGAAGAGAAAAAGGGTGTGAAGACAGGATTTGGAGTTGGAAGGCGTGTGTAAAGGCACCGTGTGGACATCATGAATGAAAAATTTTTTCATGCAAGCCTTGATGCTTAAACTTTAATTTTAGAAAGTTTCATTCTGTTTCAATGAACCGTTTAGACGTCGACCTCACCAAAAATTGAATTCGAACATAAAGCCCACCCTGTAGATTGAAGCGACTCTCATACCTATCATATGATACCCCCCAAAATAGCTATTTTACCGGTTTTATACGTTCTTGCATACCAGCCCCTGTCTGACTATCGCCGACTTGGGGAAGGGGCGCAAAGACCCTACTCATCTAATTTCGAATCCCTATGCATGGATTTTCCCAGTGATCTCAGAATTTTGAAGACATAATACGTCGTCAGTTCCGGTTTATCCTAATTCTGACCATGAGAAATGATCAAAGTGAAAGTTATCAAATTTAATCTAGGGCAATAGGAGTAGACAAACTATCTGTGAAGGAACTCAACAACCTATGAAGCCACAGGAAAATATATAATTAAAATTACTCAGCTCTTCTAGCGACAATCAGTCTAACGATATGCATCGTTAGGACTCACATAAGTCACTACCCCACCAGTCGAGAGTGCAGGAGAGGCCATAGGGTTCCACGTCGTATCGACCCCATCCGAGTAAAGGCATGACGGTCCAGGTTCCAGCATATCCCCAGATGAACCACATCCATTTCCACGCCAGACCACTGGTCAACCTGTCTCCTATGTAAGTAGCGTGATGACATGAGGGGCATGTGGTTCTGAACGTCCGAATATACGTTCATCAGAAGAAAAATGAAAACTCACCGTAATGTGGTTTACAGGTCTTGATGCACCTCATGATAGAGATCGCAGTTAAGGAAAACATCCCAACGAGGGAAGTGAAATATACCAAGGACGCGTCGATACTGCAACCTAAACGGGATCACCAAAGGGATGAAGAGCATACTTCAAAGCCTAGAGAGATCTAAAGTTGTTTGGACGAATGCAACTAATCGTAACAATGCCTTTAAGGTAGAAGTGCGTAATCGCGGGAAGGGTCAGTCTGCGTCACCGATGGAAAGTTTTTAAATGTCTACAAGCAGCTGACGTCCAAGGTAGGACATGGAGTTAATTCAAATGGTAGCCCTGTAATCGAAGATGAAAGATGCGGTTTTCCGAGGGACCACCATGTTTATTCCTTTCTGGTTCGTTTATGGCGGAATTGTAGACCGTTGTTCGTCTTCGTAAACAAAGGATTATCCTTTCTTGGGCTAAGGCAGCAGTCGGAAACTTTTTTAGTTTTTCTTATATAGTGTGCCTGATAGGTTTATATTTTCACTTATGCAGTTTCTCGGACATACGAAGTATATATTACGAGAAAATTCACAATTTCAAGAGTTTATGTCACCAAAATTCAAGACAAGATGCCGCGAATGGGCATTGGGTTATTGATCGTTCTGTCAGCGTTCCCCATAGACGCAAGCAGATTTACCTAAATGTGAAATACTAATTTTACTAATAAAATTACTAATAAAAAATACATTTTTAGGTTTGGCTAAGGACGACTTCTCGAAATATACGCATATTTTTGTGTTGGTTTAAGGGCCGAAATTGGGCATACTCCTTTCAAGCTCTATCTCCCCGGGACTGTGGAGCTCGCTGAATCGCGTTTTTTTGGAGAAAGGGAACTACCAAGTGAATGATATTGACCTAGAGGTGACAAAAAGTTCCCTTTTTTGCTTCTAATATACCATTTCTCCATTTTAAAAAAATGAAATTAGATGCCGTTAATCTAGGTTTAGCGCAATGGCTCCAGTTCCGTCCCCCAGTGTTGCCGAATATCATGTCGACGTTATGTCAGATTCATGACTTCTTCGGCCTTAGTATCGTTGTCTGAATCATCTCTTATATTGTAGGAAACATTACCGTGCTGAATTCCTGAGATGAGATGATATTGAATCGGTGGTTTACAGTGGCCATCAATTTGATGGAATACGGAGATATCTCATCTGGACATCTCTAAATTAACATGATGGGGGCGTGAGGTTGAAAAAAGGTAAAATCTTTGAAAATTGGTTTTCACATTACTACATCAATCCTATTGGAGCGTAACTATTAATAAATGCGTTTCAAGTATGGTACCTTCAGATATGTGTAAGGAAGCCTGTTTGCTCATTTTTTATTTCTCTCTCTCTCAGTTGACTTGTGTCATATCGTACCATGTGGTCATTTAACCGCGTCATCAGGCCTTGCTTAAGGAGAAGCGAAGCGACAATAGACGAGCTGGAACGCACACGACAGGCGCGGGTAACGCTTAGTCTATTTTAAAACTCAAGTCTATAGGCGCTGCATATGTGTCCCTGCGATAAACTTATTTCTGACTGAACTGAGCTGAACTGGAAAACCTTTTTACCTCGTTTAGGAAAAAGTTGAGGAAAAGTCCAATAGGTCGCATGAGTACCTAAGGCCCGAATGCTGAAACCTCCTTTAACTAACGGTCCTTTAAAAATACATTGACTCTCATGGGGGAAAAGAACCTCTTCAGCATTAAGGCCTCTTTGTCTTTTAATTGAGGTTTGTGTCTTGGAGCCTAAATTTATACGTGTAGAATGAGGGATAACTGCCGAGACTTGAAACTGGCACAAATGTTGACATAAATTAGTAGTATTTAAATAATTTTATAAGGACTATTCATTATTGTGACGGATGAGGATGGCGTCGAGAGGCTCGACTGAATGTCCGGAGTTCGGTGGTGTAGTGGTAGCACACCTGACCGGCAATCAGGAGGCTCGGGTTCAATTCCCGGCCGTTCCTTGGCTTCTTTCGTCCTCTCATGCCGTCCGTCTCCCGAAGTTCCCCTCCGTAACAATATTCTTCAGTGAAACGTAGCTGGAATTTCGAAAGCCACAATTCGCACGAAATATCATATATTGTGTGCGTCCTCCCCCCTCCCCAAATTATCCGATTTTCCTATACACCAAACTTCCGTTCAATGACATTTAAATAAGACACACCGCACGAATTTGGAGCTACTGCGTTTCAGATGAAGGAGGGAAGGTGCTTGGAGATTCTTCCCATCCTCGGAGACCCCGATTTCCCTTTATACAATTCCAAGTTAATTCTGTCTTATAGTATTCTAAAGGGATGTCGTTCGAATTTCGTACTTCGGATCGATATCAGGGGTTGCAAGAAAAATCCCGACATTCTGTCCATCTGAGCGAAAATTTTAAGCATGATCCTTCCAGATCCTTCATCATAGCTACCTATATTAACTTCTCGTTAACCTAATTTAACCTCACCTAACCTTGGCAGAAAGTAACATGCCAGGTCAGTGGTTCCAAATCTTTTTTTACTTGCGGCACGCATAAGGACACCTGAACTTTCCACGGCACACCCAGCCATTTACTTACTTTCAATGGGAAACTTGTAGTTGCTTCGCTGAACACAGCAGTTTGATACGAGGCGTGATAATGCAACTCTCAGCTCGTTTGTTTTTCTGACAGATGGCTTTCCCTTTTGTTTTTAAGTTATTTTAGTATTAGGTTTTTTTTTCCAACTTTCAAATCTCACGGCACACCTATGCCTTACTGGCGTCACACCGTTCGGGAAACACTGTGCTAGGTTACGTAAATTTTACGTAAACGTGATGTCATTTTCATGGCAATCGCAATAAATTTACATTGTTTGCAAGGAATTGATATCTTGTTTACGTAAACATGCTGCTTGGGTAGAATAGCATGACAAAGCAAACTCACTCTAAACCGAAAAGAAAATGAGAGCTCGTAAAAGAAAGTAACAGCTGCATGACTGAAGGGCTTCGTGCAAGATTATGCCTAACCACCGGCACATATTTTTAAGAAAAGGATTTACACAGCTTGTCCAAACCTGCAGGGTGGAGGATTCAGGCCCGCAACATTCATTTTGGCATTGATGGAAAAGTTTTCAGGTTCTTCATGAAACACTAGTCGAAAGCCCGTGTACACACAGGGTGTTCAGATCTTTCACTTTGAGGAATGATTGTTCGTTTTGATGAATAATCATGGTTGGGCGCACTTTGGAAATCAGGCCCTGCCCATGCTCATAATCTTATCCATAGAGCAAGGCTAGGAGTTTGTTCTTCCTAAGTCTAAAGCGGAGGTTTTAGTGCACAAGATCAACAGGGAATATTTTGCTGAATCGTTTTATGCATCTATCCTGTTTTCCTGTTTTAAATAGTTTGATTTTCAGGGATAGCCATAGTGAGGGCCAATTGAACTGGATATTGTCTATGCCCCGGGTAATAGGCATATCGGGTTCAGATTTTGGAAGAATAATTCTGGAAATGTAGACTCTTTGGCCCTGTACTATTTCAATTAACACTTTGGCATCAGTCACATTGTTCACAGAGCATTTACTTGTGGCTTCAAAAGGGCTCTTCTCGTGTTCAATTTCTTCAGAAGCATAATGATTGCAGTAGCATTGCCTTTGGACAACCCAGCCAGGAACTTTCGTTGGTCTATGGTCGACGCTTTGCTGGGAAGTTGACTCATCTTCGGAGAGCGAGTAGGTCATCCAAGTCACATTTGTGCCGTGGTTACCCCAGCATTCGTCCCTTCACCGGGCGACATACGGCAGCGACATATGCACAGCTGGTCAAACATGGAGCTCCGAAGTTGAGTCATATAGAGGCCGCAGGCATGTTATCTAACAGCTATTCGAATAAAGAAGGTTTACAAAACTTGCGCGTATGGTTCTTAAATCGTCATTGTAGCGAGTCACTCCATGATTCTACTGAAACGAGATTTCCGTACCGTTCGTGCGGTTTCCGATCGTTTCGATCATAGATCTTGTGGAAGAATTGGGAAAAAATTCCTCAATATATTCTTCCCGAGATGTAACCCAGCTCGAGGATACTCTATACGATTCTGACCCCGAGGTTGGAGAGAGAATGGTTCTTAAAGCCACTTGACTCCATTGACTCCGTCTTCCTTTCGCTTCAAACCATCTTAGGCAAGCAATTGCGTTAGTTATATGGAAAGGGTAGAATATGAGAAAAAGGAAAATTTCTAATCATGACATTCCTATGTCGGAAGAAGTCTTAATTTTGTCTTCTAGAAAGAGATAGGACGCCCTCAAGACATCTTGAACACCTGCAAATGTCCGCTTCCGAAGATGTCCTTATGCTGGAAACATCTCCAAGATATTTAGAATATGTATTTTTTTGGGCATGGAAAATGCATAATCCCTGTTATCGTCATTGACCATGTAGAGATATCATAATCGTTTCCTCCCTGAAGAGGAGCGATGAACCTTAGCCACACCCCATATTGTAGTAGAAGTACCCTCACCGCAGACCTTTTGTACGACGAAGTAACTAAATCTCCACTCCATTCCCATGTGGCTTCTTATAACTTCGCTGCGAAAGTGCAAGGCTTCTGATAGTATTGTGACGGATAAGGATGGCATCGAGAGGCTCGACTGAATGTCCGGGGTTCGGTGGTGTAGTGGTAGCACACCTGACCGGCAATCAGGAGGCCCGGGTTCAATTCCCGGCCTTTCCTTGGCTTCTTTCGTCCTCTCATGCCGTCCGTCTCCCGAAATTCGCCTCCGTAACATTATTTTAATTTTATAGCATATGAATAAATAAATAAGTTTATTGTTAGCATAAAACAAACGTACACGAAGTTCAACTGAGGACAGTTGTGCTACAAATGGAGGGAATGGGAGGAAAAACAAGCGTTCGCTTTGGGAAATGAGAAGGTAAAAACACAAAATGTGCGAAGTTTCTCCTGTCTTTGTTACTTGTGATGTTTGCTGATTCGTGCTTGAAAACATTTCAACATGAAGGCTTCTTCCAGAAGAGGTGTCCTTTTTTTAAATTTACTATATGCCAAATTAAGGCATAAGCTCAAGTGAAGCAAATCGGCACGTCCTAGACAATGGCTTTCCTGTAGGACCGACGCGATCTGGTTCAACATGGGCCGCAAAGTTGCACAAGTGATGATGCCATTAGAGGTCCGTATATTCAGCTTGGCAGCGTTAGACTTCTCCTTTTCTCATTTTTGGCGACGACGCGAGCTCACACGAACACGTGAGAGACCTTTCAGAATGTCTAACGCGTGCACATTCTAATATTAATTCCGCATTCCAATATCGTATCCCACTGTAAAGCAGAGCCTTTTTCCCCGTGGAAAATGACTTTTGAGGCGGTTTAAAGTGACACGAATACAGACTTATACCTTCGACCATGCATAATCACGCTTGAGTCAGCATACCGAGTGATCCGAAGGGCCATCGATGCAGAAAGAACGAAGTGATGACAGTCGGATAGGCAAGGAGAACAGTGAGGCCATCGAAGAAAGTCAGATTTAGAAGGAAGACCTCGTGTGGCTTAAGTTGCTTTCTCGTCTCCCAAAATGAATGCAGCACCATCCCGTTTGGCACGAGGGACATCACCCCTAAGATATTGGAAGGAAAATAGTCTTAGCAGTTACACAGGAGAGCCTGGAGGTATTTGAAGCAGAGCGGAGGAAAGGCAAATTTTGAATGACTGAGTTCAGAATATATATACAGTATATACTTATAAAGACACTATTACCACCACCCACCCCCTCCCCTTGTTTCCATTTTTCTATTTAAATCTGAGTTCGGTTTCCCAAGGAGAACCTCTGTACAGTTCATGGCGAGTATTTTTCTTCTGCTAACATCGCAATATTTATAACACTTGTTTGCCCTTCTGGTTTAGATTGGAGTATAAATAGGATTGTATTTGCGATAGGATTTGGATGGTAGCTTGGACGGAATTTATGGAATCAAGGTGACTCCAGAAGTACGAGTACAACGTTCAAAAGCGAAATATTTACATCTACATTAGAAATATGTGCAGTCAACTCTCGTTAATCCGGAAAAAAAATCACTAGTCCCCTCGACTCCGGATTATTGAAAACCCGCCCTGGCATTCATTTTTCTAATTTTTCCTGGAGAAGAAAATTTTACACCTAACGAACAAAACAGACTGCATTGGGGAATGACGAAAGACAGACCCAGTTTCATCGAGCATTCACATGGATTTAAATTCTAAAATGTATTTTGCTCTGATTCATGCATCTTCAAAGCGTGCGCTTCACATTCGTTTCCGCAATAGTGGAATATCTCCCAGGACAACATCCTGTTCGAGTTCATCGGGACACTTCACTATATCCGACACCGTCGAAGTTGGAATGTTCAAATCACGTACCACCTCAACGTGCCTTTCACCTGAGTTCTTCAAAACGTTCTACTTCTCCCGTGTGAAAACATCCCGAGAACTCTTACTCGTGAAGGGAGTTCATTATCCGATTCCAGGAAAATGGGAAATGAGTTTCTCTTTTTTTCGAAGGGTGAGGAGGATGGGACAAGGAAATATATATTGCTTATTATTATTAATACCTCTCTTTTGCGAGCAAGTCCGGAGTAACGAGTGAGAATGGCCCAGGGGGATGGGGAAAGTCGTCCTTACGAACGGAAACTACTGAATAACGACGTTCGGATAAAACGAATTTTATTGTGGATTGCGAGGGGCTTCGGCCGGGAACGTTCCTCGTGTCGAGAGTTCACTGTGTACAGAATGGTCTAAAAAATAAAATATTTCACCCCAAAGCGACGGAAAACATCGTCATTGCTGCGGGATTTAAAATGTTTAATACAGGTGTGTCTTTACCTATAACAATGCCACACGAAAAGAAAGTTTTATTTATATTGTCCACCAAATATTTAGCAATTGCAGAAAATTTCTGAATGGAGTTGCCGAGCTTCAATAACCGCTCGCTGTGACAGACAATCACAAATGGTAAAATTATGCACTTGTTGGGACATTCTTTCTCGTACGTAATAATTACCGGATCAAGGTTAGTTGAAATCGGAGGTCACATGTCGGATCGAACAAAGTCGAGAACGCAATTTTGTCCAACTATTTTAGTGTTACATTTGCCGTATGGAATCATGTGCTCCAATATGGAGCTTGTACTCAATCCCAGCAAATCGCCCGTGTCGGGCACAAGAGAATCTTGTCTCAACTTACGTCAGCGCATTGACTTTTTGGGTTGCGGGGTATGGTAAGGAAGGGGGGGGGGAGCTTCTCAAGTTTTGAGACAGCAACGGGAACTACTACCTTCTAGCTGAAGTGGCTTCGAGTTGTCATGAGATGCGCGGAAGTGATTTTGGATGTTTTCGTAATAATGGCGCAGATTCGATCGTTTGGAATGTCGATGGGAAATTTCTCTATAGGTATTTCTTCATTTTTATAGAACGTTTTCTGGACCATATACGATAGTCGTTTTACGTAACACTCGCCTGCACCTTGCCAAAATCTTCGAGCGAACTCGAGACGCAAGCTTTTGAGCTTGAAACCTACCGATTGTTTTTCAATTTCAGATGAAGCTTCTTGGTGATTCGGGAATAATTCATTAGCGATTCAGTAAGAGGTCGTTCTGCTGTAGCATTTCCCTCATACTAGAAGATGGGATCGTACAGGCTTGACACAAACGCTTGACAGACGCGCATGGTGACCTGAATGCAACGAGGTCACGATAAACAGAAAGAAAATAAATTGGTTCCATCAAAGCGCAGTTTCTCTCAACCTGTGAAGCGCGCCTCGTATTACATTTGCATATAGATGTTAGCACATTTTGCTTATCAAGACATTCCATCACCAGGAAAGGAATTGAAGCCGAAGAAGCCGAAGCTCTTTGAGGAAAAAGTCGTGGAAAATTTGTTGGACGACATCTTGCGTTCATGTCGCGGTAGTGCACCTTACGCTGATAACTGCAGTTATGTCAGCTCCTCTGCTTACCTTTCAATGCCATCATTCCATTAGCGTCGATTGCAGGTGTTGAAATTACGCTATAAATAAAAGAGCATGAGTAACATAAGACTCCGAGGTGAAAATCGGAATTGAATTTTTTGTCAGCGTTGGGTTAATAGTGGTTCAAGGGTGGGTCGATGTCATCAATCAACTTGCATAAATGAAAAACATAGGCAAAATCAGCATCCTGCACTAGCTGGGTTTTCCTCAGGTTCATTTCCTATCCCGTCACCTGTCGTCTACTCTCGATAGATGCAGGTGGACTTTTATTATGATTCGTGGTTTCGCGGATGCATCCGGTTCCTCCTTTTTGCAATACCGAAGGCCCAAATGCAATTTTTCTAGAACCTCCTTTTTTCTAGTCTCAGCAACGAGCTGTACGGATCATCTCCTGCCACACATTAGCTAATTCCCTGTACGTGGAAAATACTTTCGACTTTCTTCCATAAGTTTTTAAGGCTATCACAACGTTTTTTCTTGGAAACATAGGATTAATATTTTCAGGATGAAAGGACCAGAGAACCCATTTCGATATTGAGACCCCAAGACTCTCATCTGCCAACGAGGAAGGCTCAGGGCGACATCAACAAAACTCGTGGAAATTAGCCCATGCTGGGATATCATATACTGTACCTACGAACTGCAGACATAGGGATCCGTTGGTTCCATCTCACTGACGACAGTGCATTTCATTTTCTCCAAGCGAGTGCATTAGCAACAAAGAGGGACATTTATCAATTTCTAAAAGTCATCTTTTGGTGTAGTCATCTCCTCTGAAAACCCAACTGGAGATGCTGCCCCTGGGAGAGAGAGGTTATAGTTTACTCTGGAGCGATTGCGTCGAGAGTGCCAGAAGCATGCTCGATTTAGTTCCTCTAAATACTCTCAGAGAGGAGAACGAGGAGGTGGAATTTTGGAAGGAAAAGGGGTTGAAGAAAGAATAGACACTTCTGCGCTTATTGCCTATTATTACAGGGTCCTGTATGTCTTGTCCAAATCGTTGACTCAGACGCACCCAAGCAGAGCAGAATGGAGCCGATGATGTGATCTTCCGAGGGATGAAACCGAGACAAGAACTTCTCGTCGAAGTCGGTGTCATTCTGAGGTCCCTCACCTGAAATACAAGGACCGTCATAAACAAGGGTGCTCAACTAGTCCACTATCTCTGCAAGTACAGTGTTTCCCTATTAACACTTCGGGATTTTAGTCTTTCTAAACGTTGAACCGATGATCAGGGAAAGCTGAAAATTGTACCAGATATTAAGTAAGCCAATGTCTTCTTTTTTCTTGCTGTAGAGTTCCAGTCGATTTGATGCAGCGGATCTTGAGATGCTAACGAAAAGGCAACGGCGAGCAATTTAATTGCTATTTCTGACCAGCCGCTCATAGGACGCGTGTCCAATAAGTTCTCGACCGTTGTTAACGATATTTTGTTATGATTCTTCAACATAGTCATCCCTAATGACATTGCACTTCTTTTCCGCTTCCCTTGTTAGTATTTTTTTTACATTTCCGTTGCATTCTTTGGGTGTTATGCACCAACTGAAGAATCAGATAAGTTTAAAACGAGATAAACACGTTTAATAAAACATATATAAGTTCGTGTTTGTCATTGACATGCATCAACGAAAATCAGATTTGTCTAGGAACATCCACGATTTAGATGCATTTAACCCCTTAAGGACGAGAGCTGCGAATTCGCTTCAAACCGATTTTGGCCCACCTATGCGATCAAATATAAAATTTGCATTTGAGTGAATCAGGCAAATAAGGAGCAATTCCAATGAGACTAAAACGAAAAATTCTACTTTAAAACCTTTCATTTCTGTCAATCTGTATTTGTCTCTAATGTTCTTCTGCATCTAAGTCTAGCGCATTTGAGATCCAGGACCCTTCATATTATACTGTATATATTGCTGTTTGAAGTAATCAACTGCACCAAAAATGTCCCACCCGTAACAAGAAGCTTTAAGTCCTCCTGGCACATGTAGAATTCGCTCAGCTTAATGCTACTTGTGGAGTGGGTTTCCTGTCTCATGTACACGTGAAACATGAGTAAAAATGAATGCTACCTCATTACGGTTTTCAAATACTGGCTTAGAAGTGTTACGGGTGGGACACATTATTTTCATTCTTGTGGTTTTGAAAGTTATAATTGTTTGAATTTTTTTTTACTTGAATTTCTAAAAATTACGATGATGCTGAAACACATTATAGACCTCTGACACAAATATAATATATACAGGATGTTCCAGAAGTCAGGAATCAAGGAAATAGCATGGGGATTTCCAGCCTAGATTATCTGAAACCTACAAGCTAATCTGAGTTGATTCTTAAACTCCTGAGTTCCATTAATCTCAAAGTCTGGTCCAAGTGCCCCAAAATGATAGTGGGTGACCCATGGTGACCCAAAGTGGCCTAAATTGTCCAATTGACTGAATATGGGCCTAATTATCTGAGAGTGATATATACTTTTACAAAAATAGAAGCAGTGACCCACAGTTGCACAAAGCGACCCATTTTATCCATTTCGACCCACGGCGTGCCAATTCGACCCATGGTGACTCATTTCGAGCAATGGTGACCTACCGTGAATCTCACTATTTAATAGTAGCCAAAGTTGACCAAAAGTGATCCAAGGTGACCCAAAATTATTCTAGGGTGAATAAAGAAAGCTAAAATTGAGAGTAAATAAATTTGATCCAGAGCGACTGCAGGTGACCCATGGTGACCCAAATTTGCCCAAATTGTCCAATTTATCCAACTTGGGCCTCATTTTCCTAAGGCGATGTAATTTTGCTAAAATTTAGAAAGACCATGGGTCATCTTGAATCAGATAACCAGTTGGTACCGATGATAATTTATCACTCTAAGTCCCTTCCAGTGTTACCCAGCTTTAACGAAGCTAAAAACGATATAACAATCATACATGTGTTCATTAATGGGATTCCCTACTTAGAGGAGATTTCAAGTCATTCTACATCCACATCATACTTTTGTCCCACCCGTAATGAAATTTACTGGTGGGACAAACATAGCAATGTCTAAAATTAGATTAGATAATATTGCATTATCATATATTTGTTGCATATGCATAGAAAGCTCTTTTTAAGAACTTGCAATTGATCCCTTACTGAAAGTTGTTTAATACGTAGTTAAAGAGTTGCAAATTTTGTAGTATGCATACTTTTGACCATTTTTCAAAAACGTTGTCGTATGATATCTCTGGAACGGTTTAACTTACGATGCTACACTTTTGTATTTGGAACACTGCTTCACCGAAGAGACACCATTGTCAGTTTCATCTTCATGGCCGCTTCACAGGAAGTTTTGTTTTAAATTGCTATTATTGAATGAGCTGTTTCAAAGGGATGGTTACATTTATATCATATGAATAGTTTTATCACCGAAGAGACACCATTGTCAGTTTCATCTTCATGGCCGCTTCACAGGAAGTTTTGCTTTAAATTGCTATTATTGAATGAGCTGTTTCAAAGGGATGGTTACATTTATATCATATGAATAGTTTTAATATAAATACAAATTTAAAAAATTGCTCTGAATTCAAAATTCTACCATTTGAAACTGATATTTTTCAGTGACTAGAACGTGTCTTACATGCAAATTATTATTTAAAATACAAATGCACCTAAGACCGATTGCTGACCCTTCAAATTACTTCAAATTAAAGAGAATGAATGAATATGGGAATCAAATTTCAGCTTTCTCCGATCATTCCTACTATCTCAGGGCAGAAACTTTTGGATCGCCCCTCGTATATCTCAAGATAAATTTTATTTGACGAACAAGGGCGAAAATATGAGGCGGAGGATAATGCTGGAGATTATTGCTCTACTACTGATCAACAAGCAGCGTCACTATCTAGCATGAATGGAACTGATGAAGTCGCCTATGCGTGTGCATGTTAAAGAATTGCACCTGCAGGTGGAACTCTTCGCTACCTCGCATCTGGCCGCTCAATCAATAGCAGATTGGAAGGATGGGAAATTCTCCCTCCACTCACACTCCTTCACCTGCTCCATCTATTGATACCGTCTCAAGAGCCTCTCATTTCTTTACGACAAGATATTTCACTTCGGTTTTCTAAAAATTACGAGAATTCAGCTAATCAAAATCTCAACAATAAAAGTTCATCTCATTTTGAGAAGACTTTTCGTGAGATTCTTGTATTCCTACGCTACTACGGTTAATTTTCTATAGGTTTTTATAGGTAATTTTCAATGAAAATCCTTGGATTAGTAGCTCTCCCTTCGTAAGTTCAAGGATTTTCATTAGAAAATCCTTGGATTTGCGTAGGGAGAGCTACATAAAACATTCCCAGTGAAACTACTGAATCTACGAGCTTCCTGAATCACCAACAGATAAATTCAAAGGACTTACCCATCTATGGCGAAAACGTGTTGCCGGCGATGCTGCTGCCAGAGGCGATCGGATGGGAGAGACTACTTCGGAATACCGTCCGCCCAGATACTTTATATAAGTCGGCGGGAATCGGGCTGCTCGGCGCANATTCCCGAGTGACCCCGATGACATGGAGATTTTACAATTTAGGGTATCTTTTCCGGTTATTGTACAGGATCCATTTCTCGTCGCAGGTAATGATTCGCTCCAAGAATGGCTCTTTGTTGTTCCTGACCATCAGCGATGAACACACCTCCAGGCGTCGCAGGTTCCGGCTGTCCGTCAATTCGTGCGGCACCCATTTGTCCAATTTTTTCACCTTTCCTATTGCAGCCAGGTGTCGAGAAACAGTTGCAATAGAAACACCTAAGTCTATTGCAAGAGCCCGAACTGTCGTTTGTGGGTTAGCTTCCACGATGGCTCTCAAATGTTCTTCATTCACAACAGATTCAGGCCTTCCTCGGGGATCATTTTCGAGGTTCGTGTCTCCCGATCGAAATTTTTCGAACCACCGCCGAATAGTCCGCTGGTTAGCAGTCCCTTTCCCGAACGCCAAGTCGATGTTACTCGCGGCTACAGCTGCGTTGTGCACCAATTTGAACTCATACAAAAAAGTAGTCTGTATTCTTTTGAAGACATCATATTGTACAGGCAGTCCTCGACATATGACGGTAATTCGAGGGAGGCCTCAGGCCTACATGTCAATGACTCCTTCAGCCCTAGGCTTAGAGCGTCCTAAGTCAAAGTGTCGTAAGTCGGAGCGTTGTAAGTCGAGGACTGCCTGTATAGAGAAAAATCGGACATTTCATGTGAAACAACCTAATACATAAGATGTCCAGGAATTCGGCGAACATAGCCTATGATCTAGAAAGACAATCTTGCAGGCCTCGTGTGTTAGGCTAAGGTAGCCGAGGACAGAGCGCTCCGTATACCAAAACCTCTAATGATGTTTTCCTGAGTGAGTATGGCCTCCTCAACCATTTTAACCCACTGTTCATTGTCAGATTATACGTGATGCAGCAGGGAAAGAATGAGACTAGGCTGAGGGTTAGGCTAGAATGAGGAAGTGGGAGACCGGTGCTCCGTATGTCACCTTCTTGTCTTTTTTTTTTGGAAAAGTATTTTAGCAGTGATGGGGGGGCTTCCTCTGTACCCCATAGGATAGTAAGTATTGAAGTATTTTAGGATCATCAATTGGTGCGGTAGCGCCTATTACCTTTCTCGAACCCCTACCCATGACAAAATTCCACCTCGTATTCCTGAGAGTATCAACAATGAGTCACTCCTGCAAATTTCATTCCGGTCCAGTGAAACCTGTGGATTCGGCCACCTTTTTGCCTGCGGCCATAAGAGCTCAGTCACAATCGTTAACTCCATAAACTAAACGTTAAAATAACCTGTTTTTATCCTGCCACCTGTCTAACGCGGCCAGCGGCCGGGAATGCCATACCCTCTGTGCTGGCCACTCTTTAATCCGGCCAGAACGCAAAAAGGAAAGAAGATTGTAGGCTTTTTTTCTACTCTTTATCTCTGTCTTCCAGTTCTCCCTCCTTTCCTCCCTGATTGTAGAGGGAATTTGTTCAGCAAATGCGCCATTTAAAATTCAGTGTCATTTCATTCAGCGAGGTACCATAGTACAGGGTGCGGCAAAATTACGGGAACACGACTTCCTTACCAAACATTTTTTAAGTTTTCATCTATTCCATCTAGTTCATTGCTTTCGTTCAGACATCGTCAACAATAACTCCAGCAAAAATGGACGAGATCAAGATCAGCGACCTCCGCCCAGCATTTGTGTACCTCAGCGGTAAGGGGAAGACCCAGCAGGAGATTGCCGGCTTCTTCGGGGTGGGGAGGAAGGCCGTCGGCAACGCGATTCGACGATACAATGAGACGGGGGACCACAAGAATCGAGCCGGCCAGGGTAGGAAGAGGACCGCTACAAGCGAGGCGAAGCAGGAGGAAGTGATGGCGGCTCTCAAGCAGAATAACAGAACGAGGAGGAAGAATGACATCTCTGCAAGTTCAACCCGAAAGCTCGCCAAGCGACTCGCCATCTCGAACCGCTCCATTCGTCGTATCCTCAAGCGCGATCTCAGACTCAAGCCATACAAGGACATCGAGCGGCAGAAGCTGACAGAAAAGGACAAGAGTGTGAGGCTGGAGAAGGGGCGAGAGCTGAGTAAGAGGTTCGCCAACGGAGGTCACCGCCTTATCCTATTCACAGATGAGTGTCGGTTCGATATCGAGCAAAATCACAACCGACAGAATGATCGCACTTGGTCAGCCGGCCCACCGCCTAAAGAGTCAAGGATAGTCGCCCGCGAGATGTACCCAAAGAGCGTGATGGTGTGGGGAGGTTTCGGTCATGGCGTCAAGACCCCTTTGATTTTCATTGACTCTGACGTGAGGATGACGGCCAAGTTCTACCGCGAGTTGGTACTCGAGCCGATCGAGGAGTGGGCAGAAGGCGTATATGGGAAGGACGAGGACGGTGGCTGGCGTTATGATTGGGTCTTTCAGCAAGACGGCGCGAAATGCCACACTGCGAACGACAACATGGAGTGGATCGAAGAGCACTTTCCCGACTTCATCGGAAAGAAGCAGTGGCCGCCTAGATCTCCCGACATAACCGTGCCTGACTACTACGGATGGAGCCGCCTCAAGGGTCTCATCAATGCAGAAAAGTTCAACTCGATATCCGAGCTAAAGGAGGCACTTCAGATGGAATGGGATGCTCTCGACCAGAAGGAGATCGACCGTGCCGTGGACGACTTTCCACGTCGACTGCAAGCGTTAATCGATGCAAGGGGAGGTCATTTTGAGTAGACTATATTGGGCTGAGGCGGAATGAAGATATTTACTGAGTGATTGGTCTTTTCACCGTGGTTGGGGGTCGTGTTCCCATAATTTTGCCGCACCCTGTATTTAATCTTGGCAAGCCTTAAAAAAGGTAAGTTAATAGTGAGTGCCGAAAACGTCAAAATTTCTGGCAGGGCGACTACCTTTTTGAAGACATGAATGGCAAGGCCGTGTTTCATTTCCTAGGATGTAGTTGCTGTTCTCAAGGAATATGATCTTCGAGACATTACCAGTCCAAGTACTCAGCATCCCATGAAGAGTACAACAGTGCTTCTCGGTCTGAACTAGCTGTCGAATTAGCAGCAAAGCTCGACAACCACTGTCCAGGACTAGGAAATTCATACAGAATGACCTAGCCTTGGGCAAGGCACGGTTCCTCCCTTTTTTCCATAACTTCTCTAGAGAAGATGTAGGGAGCGATCATGTGCCCATCCTCATTTAACTTCTCCTATGAACCTCCTACTTCAACTAGCCTCCCTCGCTTTGATTTTCGTAACGCTGACTGGCATAGTTTCCAGGACGTGTTAGAGGCCCTCCTTCCTCATTCTCTCCCTTTAGAGACCGTCCCCCAACTCGAGGAAGCAGTCACTCTCATCACTGAAGCGATTCAAATCTCCCAGGATATTGCCGTCCCCAAGACGACTCCCTCCCATAAGCCTTACAGTCTCTCTGTAGGAACCCTCAATAAAATTGAGGAGCGGAGGAAACTTCGACGTTTATTTATCGCAATAAAGAGCCCACCCTGAAGCCATTAATCAATAAGCTTAATCATGAGATGAAAGCCCTAACTAAGATTGAGAGCGATCAGTACTGGTGTGATTTTTGCGAGCAATTAAATAGCGAAGAGGATCCAGCTAGGTTTTGGAATTTATTTTAAAAGGTTGGCAACCATAGAAACAGCAATAGCAGACCCCTTAAATTTGACGGCGGGACTCACTGCAGTGATGAGAGCAAAGCCTCCGTTTTTGCATCTACTCTGCTGGAAGCTATGACTGAATCCCCCAGCTCCCTCAGGCGTCGTCCCCCAGAGGTATGCCTCGTTCTCGAAAAGAAAATTTGCAACTTCTCTCTCTCAGACCTCTCTTCTAAACCTGAGTATCTCTCTCCCTCACACAAATGCTCTCGCTTACGAAATAACGCTCGATGAGATCGAGGCTGCGGTTAAAGTCTCCCCTGGATACAGCCCCTTGCCCCGATAATATTTGCCTAAATAGCATTAAACATCTTTCCGAGCGTGCTCTTCACTCTCTCATTCTCATCTACAACGCCTGTCTCCGCCTAGGACACGTCCCGCTCAGTTGGAAGTCCGCAATAATTACTATGATCCCTAAGCCCGATAAGGACCTTTCCGACCCCTCTTCCTTTCGCTTTATTAGCCTTCTCAGCTGTCTCCAAAAACTCTTAGAAAGGATTCTTACCTCTCGCCTCAATGATTACCTGGAAACAAATATAGAATAATTTCCTTTCTCCCTCTCAATCGGGCTTTCGTAAGAATCTTTGTACAACTGACCAGCTCGTTCGTCTCCACCACGATGCGTTGGTGGCTGTCCACAGTAAAATGCATCTCTTAGCTCTTTCCTATGACGTGACTAATTCCTTCGATAAGGTCTGGCATGCAGGGCTAATCTGTAAACTTTTCTTTCACTTTAACCCTAATCCGGGCAAGGTGAGTCCGCTGGACTCACTACGACCTATTTCGGTCTATTACTGTCATTATTTTTTCGTAGAAAAATGAGCTTTCGTGACTTTGTCACCTTGT